GTGGGGGTGGTGGGGGGGGGTGGTGGGGGGGGGGGGGGGGGGGGGGGGGGGGGGGTTCTGTTACAATCGTTGCCCCCATGACGTGGAAGCAAGATTCGACACTAGAACTGTCGGCGTTGCATGGTGTAGGCTGCAGGTGAGCAGCTGGCCTTGACGATGCGACTCACAATGTGCCTCCATACAAGTCTGCTTCTGCATTTTTTTTAGTCTGATGAGCCTTCAGAGGCCGTCAGACCTAGCTGAAATCTACTTTGAAAGTATGCCACGCGCCAGAACTCTCCATCAACGACAGAGTATATCCCAGGCACGCTTTGTGCGTAGATATCAAGCGGAACCCTGCCTACACATGTCGCCTTGTTTGTTTTTACCGCCACCACCTCTGCATGGCTTTCAGTCTGTATTTGGGAAATTGGACATTAGCAACATCACTGCGATTATTCAAACCATACATACAAGAGAAATGATGCAACACAGCTGAGCCGACCGGACATTATGGAAACACATCATTATCGCTTTGGGAACGGAACCAGAAAGGCTCACATGGGGGACAATACAAGAATTTATCACCTCGTATGCAGACCAAGAGCCATCTAGGGACGGTGATGACCATGATTTATCAGGGGGGTTGACCTCCTGGAGGACTTCAAGACCTCGTTGACTGCTGAGTCCCCAATGGCGCCCCCAGAACGGACTTGAACGAAAGAATTGATGCTTGGTTAGTGACCAAGAGGGAGTAGATGACTTCCATGTTGTTGTATGTGGATTGAGTGGGTGTTGAAGGAAAGCAAGAGATTGATCAACCTGTGGAAGAACTCATTCTCTTCCCAGGACGTGGGAAGGTAGCCCCTTCCTTTTCCATCACCAAGGCAAATGCCCTCCTCGGTACCTCTCCTGATCTCCTGACCTGGGCCATGGACACGATGAATTGCAAGTGCGATTCTCACGAAACAGGAAGGAGTGCATGGACGGTCAAGTGGTCTACAGAATTCAAAATTTCACCAACTCATGGTCCGTTGCTGTAGATTCAACTGCTGGCTGCAGTACAACATTACAGGCTCAAAGCGTTTATACCATTGGATTCAATCCACTTGACGCTGTAAAAGAAGATTATTTCACTTGATCGATTGCTACAGGGCTGGATTTTCAAGGCCATGTTGACGTCTCTTCGAGCTATGTCGTCCCCATTTTGGTGCCCCACGGCCTTCCAACGAACATCGACACGGCACTGACGCACTCGTTCCGCGGACTTGCTGACTTGCTGCCTCAACAAGCTGCAGAACATATTTCACGGCGTCAACGGTGTCTATCGTATCCAGCCAGTACATGCCATTTGTGTTGTCAACCGACGCCGGTCCGGCATTCAGTCAAGACCCGATTCAACCTCCGTTACTCCGCGTCGAATCCAAAGCCAATACGCACCCTTCTGTCAACCCAAACAAAGAAGTGCAGATCATGCCCGAAAACCTCAATTGCCGCTATACTTGCATGTTGTCAACAACAGCGCTGATGCTAAGCCCGATTCAAGAAACCACACAATATCTGCAGCGTTGTTGGTCATGTTGCAACCCCCGGAAGCTATGTATATGGACCTACATACCTTTGTCCTCT